TTTTATGCTAAAATAGCTCATCACTAAAAAATGTCATATTTCAACGAAAAATTCCACGATAACATATTCAATGGATATTCTAATGATATATATATAGTTTCTATTGAAACGGTACCAACGAAAATTCTAATAAAAAATTCATTCTAACGGATTACTTGTTGGAATATCTATTGAACCAAATGAAAAATTTCAACGAAAATAATAGCAATTGAATGTCCATTGGAATTGTCGTTTGAATTTCATTAAAATTTATTATTGTTGGAATTTTCTATTAAAATTTCATTATTTTTTTGTTGTGTTTATTTGATAATAATAGTTAATAAATAGCATAAATTTATTTTTTTACATTCAATATCAATATCTATTTATAGATTATCAAAAAATTATTAATATTAAATTTAACTCATAAGATATGTATAAAATACGAACAAAAGAATACTTATACCTAAACTAAGAAAAAGTTAACATTCTTTTTCACAATATATTTCCATAAAATAGGTTTCTCACAAAGTTTTCCCAAAAGAAAAATAGAGTATTCAAACAACGTTTAACTTTTAATTATTAGACTCATCAATTGAACAATTTCAATAGTTACTTAAATGGTAATTCGAATATAGGATGTTGTCTTATTGGTCTTATTTTAATTTTTTAATTGCTTGGACTACGTGGCTGTGAAAAGAGGTGGGCTACAATAAAAATTTGCGTCATTTTGTATATAAATATCCTAAGTTGTTCCAAATTTTCCCCGGGCTACAGCCCAGGTACATTACAATGTACCTCCGCCCCTGGGCCTACGGACCCCATTTCTGCCGAGGCACCTCATGAGCCTGCGCGTACGATCCCTGGGCTACGACCCACGACTCAAAGCACGCTCGCCTGTTTCGAAGCTCTGCCTCCAGGCTGGCGGTCGACTGGCCAGCCTTTGCTGACCGGACGGGGAGACGACCGTTTTGTACTCCTTCCTTGGGCCTGAGTGAGTCCCCGCGAGAAGGATCTTGGCCTCGTCGAGTGTCTGTTTCTGGAGCTAGTGGCATTCCGCCGTGGCCTTCCACATTCGCGCCAGCCTGTCGGGTGGGTTATGTAGTAAATGCTAGCCGATGATTTTGGAAAGAAACTAAACATAAAGAAATTGAAAATGGCATGCATGCATATACCCTTGCACCAATTCTAGCAGTTGTGGCTCGAGCTCCTCGTCCCTAAGAGTCTCGATCCGCCTCGAGATAGCTTCGAGCAAGTGTATCGAAACTTTTATAGTGGTGCTTTTTGGCGTACATAGATAGGAGCATTTTGGTGTACAGTGGTGCTTGGAATGGTGTTGGGAGTTTTAGACTTAAATAGATAGGAGCATTTTGGTGGGTTAATTGGTTGATTTATTAGGTTGAGCTTAGGCTTTGGCAGGGCTAGGTACAAGTAAAAAAGTTTAAAAACTAATAGTAGTTGAAAAAAAAAAAAAAAAA